GGTGTATCAGTGTACAATTAAAATTTTAGAGTGCGACTTACAATTCTCAAAGTAAAAATTTCGCAAATATATTAGACTGGTCACATTGTTGATACATTCTCTAATACAAATAGTTCTCAGAAGTAATGTAGTGAGTTTGCTTATCTAAGAGCTTCTCCAAAGGAAGTATCAAATTTTAAACATCAAAACGATATTTGATGGCTTATGTGGCAATTTGACATTTTATACAATATTTTGCTCCACTCGATATGTTAAATAATAGGGGCTTTTAGATTTCAGGGTTTCAATAAGATTGTTTTTAGATTTTAACCTGATTGGTTGTCAAAATCTAATAAGTCTTTATTTTTAAAATTTACCATATAAGTAGTTATAGCACATTTATTATTTATGTTACCATTCGAAATTCTTTACTCATCCATAATAAATGTTTTTTTTTTGTGCTCCAATCATATTAATAGATTAAAATTTAATAAAAATTCAAATTCTTATTATTAAAAAAAATTAAACAACAAAACAAAAACAATTTATACATAACTTTCGGTACCTTATTTTATTCATAGGTACGGAAGTATCGGTACATAAATTTCGGTACGAATGTATCAGTACATAACTTTAGGTACCTTATTTTACTCATAGGTATAGAAGTATCAGTACGTAAGTTTCGGTACAAATGTATCAGTGCATAACTTTCGGTACAAATATATCGATACAAATGTGTTGGTACTAATGTATCGATATGTAACTATAGTATCTAAACATGCATATGTACGTAATATGCATAGTCATAAATATGAAGAAATTTACGCACAATGAAAAATATATGATAATATGTGATGAATAACATTTTTATTATGGGAAATTAATGTATGACCTACAAACAAAAAACTAAATAACTATCACAACCTATTTAATATTAAAAAATTACAATTAAATGCCAAGGATTAAAATTAGTTTTTAATCTTAGACAAGGTTTTATTCAAAAAGTAATCTTACACAAGGATTAAAATATAATTTTTTGTAAATAATAACGTCATTTAATAAAAAAATCTACTATTTTGTAGGGTCCGATGATTGAGGCAACAAATCAAATAGTTGAAAACTTAACACATTTACTAGATATTATATTAATCTATTAAAAAATCATTTAATAAATTGGACATGTGCTGTTAAATTTGACAGTAAAAAGTTTTGCCTTCAATTGACTCAGAGCCACGTAAGAAATTGAAAGATCGGTTGGAAATAGTTTGCTGCCATTTTTTACTGTAGTAAATCTACATGGCAGTTTTAAAGTCTTATTTGAAGATGCTCTAAATGACATTATTGTTTCATTTTTAAGTCGATATGATTAGATATTTGATTTTAAGTTTCTTTGTTTCTATTGCTTAGTGAAGTTGTTGTGGGGTTTTGATGGGTGAAGTGGAGGGTAATGCATGGGGCCACAATAAAAAGAAGACCCGTAAGATAAGAAGACCTCTTTAACTTATGCATATGTGGATACCTGCACCGCCCAAAAAGAAATATCCTAAAGATAAAAATCCAGTGATTGATAAGAAATATATAGTTTATTTTACATATTTTAAGCTTCTACATTATTCAAGAAAAAAGGACATAATGATTGACGATTTTAATTGTTGTTTTAAACTTTCATGATTAGAAATGTCTTGGAGGACTTTGTTTGGACTGATTTTTATATGGTGATCCACAAATGAATCTCATAATATTGGTTTGATTAAAAAGATCCCTACGTGTGTGTTTTCCAATATTAAGTTTTTGAAAAATTAAAATTAAAACTCTATTGTCGACGTTTTTTATTTTTTATTTTTTTATGTATCTGAGGAAATTGAACTTTGAACATATTTTGAAATTGAGTTTTTGACACTGAAGAAGGATCAGCCCCGCATATAGACTTAGGACTTTTTTTATAAGGGACAATGATTGTCTGCCCTCCCACTTCCAATCTCGTTCTGTGCCCTCTTATTTGTGTGGTCACAGTTAAATCACGTCAACATTTTATATTACTATTCATTTTTGTCTTATTATCTTTATAAAAAGAATATAAAATGTTGACGTCGTTTAACTGTGACAACATAAAACAGGAGGGCACGGGAGGGCACCAGAAGTAGGAGGGCAGGCAATCCTTGTCCTTTTTTAAGAGGCTCCCAAAATCAAGTTCCTAAAAGAGAGTTTTACAGAGACGCAGCTTATTCTCCCTAGTGTCCTATGTCGGCTTCCATTACAAAACCCTTTCATTAAAGGTCCTTAGATATTTTTTTTTGTCAATGGTTGAGAATTTTTATTAAACAAAGTTTAAATAGGCAAATTACATTCTATGTAGCTCTAGAAAGGACTGACAAACAAAAAGAAACACCAGTTATGCAGACAAAGCATGAATAATGGTTTTTTTTGCAGCAATTACAAAATATACATAAATAGTAAATAAAGCTAAACAAAAAACATACAACATCAAAATACTCAAAATAAAATTGAAATTTATCACCAATTAACCTACCAACCGAAAGAAGCAGCCAAACATCACAACTATATCCACCAACCTAGGACCATCAAGAACAAAGTTCCAATGCCGGCAAAGTAAGACATTAATTCAGAACCAAAGGAGGCGGGGCAAAGCTCCATTGGTTTTGCACACCTTCAACTGAATGAGCAACAATTCACAGAAACTCTGCCAGACTTATCAAGGTTGGAACTTTTCTTTTTTAGGTTTTCTCTCTTAGATTAGTATAGGTGGCTTATATTAAGGGTAAAGCTAGAGAGAACAATATTTTAAACTAAATGATATGTCAATAATAAGAAACAAACACGTTAATCAATATTTAGTTAATAATCGAATAATCTACAACTATATCATTTGGTTTGCAAATTCGATTTTAAAAAATTGAACTTTCTAACATTATCGTTACGTTAATATGATTTTAACGGTCATTAAACCTATTTTTCTGTTTACCCAAAAAAAAAAAACCTATTTTTCTTTAGGTCGACCAAAGTCACCCACATCTTTGTGGTCGGCAAACATAAAGTCGGTGGAGCCGTGGAGGCACTTTAAACTTTTAAAAATATTAACCCACTCAGCCATACGATAATTACAATACCAATTCAATTCTCCCACCAGAAGTCAAAATTTAATAATAAAAAAAAACATATGGTGTGGGCATTAACTCGGACGCAGATGTTGTGACAGATATCGAAAACCCTTATGTCGATTTCATATTTTATTGCGCTGAAATTAGTAAAACCATTTGCATATTTTGCAAAGTGAGTGGAGTAAGATTTTTTTTCAAATTCCATTAGATTTTTTATTATTATTCTTTTGTTTTGTCAAATTATAGATTTGTTAAATCAGATGTTAAATTAAGAAGGGTTAAAACCCATGCGATGGTGTAAGAGCAACACTCATCTTCACAATTGTTTTAGAGAGTCACTTGCCAAATTCCTTGATCAGGAACGCACTCAGTGAACATTACAAAAGCATGCGGAGGGGAATTTGTAAACTTTTTACTTAAAATGTGTCATTTGCAAATCTCTTTTACATACCTTTAAATTTTTCGCACAAAGATAACCTTGGAGTTTTCATGAGGTTCTAAATTCCTCCTGGGATCCTAAAGCCAGCAACGGCTAATTTTGTATTAGGGACTAGGGGTGGGTTCGGTACGGTTACCGTACCAAAACCCTTGTACCAATTACCGTACCAAACTTTCGGTTTGGTAAAATCTATTACCATTACCGTACCAAACTTTCGGTATACCGAAGTTCGGTATTGCCAAAAGTTTAGTTGGCATGGTATGACAATGGTAATTGCCATTTTGTTTTTTTAACCCAATTCAAGGGCAAAACTTTTTTTTGGTACCTTTATCTCATACATTATAGATTAAATTCATTTATTATTCATCATTCACAATTCACACACATAATAATTCAAATGAAGTATCAAGATTCATCATGAAAATTAAGCTTACAATCCAAATAGAAGTTACGAACCAAAACAAATAGAAGTTAACAATCCAAATAGAAATTAAAGTTTCAAACCAAATGAAAATTGGAAGTAAACTTCAAAAAGGAGAATTCATTGATCAGTTATTCAAGCTTGAGATGTCGAATCTTATTGAGTTTGTGTCAAGCCTACATTACAAACAAAGAAAACATATTAATTAGTAGCAAGAAGAATTAAAGTTGAAAACCATTTAATAACAAATTTACTAAAAAAATTAAAGCATATCTTTCTTGTTTTCTCTTTTTCTATTTCCTTGTAAAATTGAAGCATATCTTCCATTGGTCATTGTAGAAGTTTACTTCACCTGCCCTAAGCCAACAACTAGTACACACTAGTGCCTCCATTATTTTAGGAGTCAAGGATACCCTAAAAGGGTTCACAACCCTCATCCCTAGACTAAATGCATTTTCACTAGCAATAGTAGAAGTGGGGGTTACAAAGATATTTTGGCTATTTGTGAAAGAATTAGGAACTCTTTTGTGTTTAATTTCCACAATTTTAAGAGATCAAAGTCACCAACAACAATGCTAATATAAGTAGGGTTTTATTTTCAAATTATTGGAATATTATAAATATGTGTTATATAATTATGTATTATATAAATTATATTGTATTTTCGGTTTGGTACGGTAATACCGTGGTAATGGTATCCATTACCATATCGTACCATGAAATTTCGGTACGGTAATATCGTACCATTACCGATTGGTACAAAAAATTTGGCACAAAATCGGTATGGTACGGTTAGCAATTCGGTTGGCATGACAATTTGGCAAAAAAATCCACCCCTATTAGGGACACGGCCTTTTTTTTTTATGTTCATGTTTTTCCCCTAGGTTTAGAGAAAGCTGCAATCAATAGAATCTTCTCAATCCTTCCTCCCCGGGGAGGAAGAACATGAAATCATAAAGGGGCGTCGAACAAAAAAAGAAGTGTCATAGACTAAAAGCTACTTAGTGGAAACTTTGTATTTTGCTTTTGTTGTACTACCAAGTCACCACGTAACGATAGAATAAAATACAACAAAAAACATGCAAAATTTACAATCAAGACTCGAATTTTTAATAACGTTACAACAACCATAATTAACCCAAATTTGATGTAGTATTAACAACTTTAACTCATTACGTACAATGAATAAACCAAGGACATGAATCCTCTTACCTAAAATGCGTACTAGACAAACCAACTCTCATGAAACGCAGTGTTTGATGATACAGTGGATAAATAACACAACCATTTTAGTAATAGCCACACTTGCAGGCGTGCCTACACTTGCAACACGGTGGAGGCACAAAACATGGCGCCTTGGGAGTTTCCGACGACAACCAATGCACAACCGCTAGCAACAGCAACGACGTGGCTATGAGCCCCCAATTGATCTCAAATTTCGGGGTTTCAACATCGAAGGAGATCAAAGATGACAGAAGAAGAAGCACCGCGACCACTGCCAAGAAAACCAGAACCGGGTACGAGGAGGGGGCTTCTCTTCTGCAACAGTGATGATGTCCCATCAAAGATTTAATGGCCTTTGTCAATGGAAGTTGATGTTTGTACAGAGAAACAAAGTGGATGGAATTCGAAATTTGAAACCCAATTGACATATAAACAAGAACTTTTGTATATCTAATAATCTCAACCGCACAAGTATTTGGTGTTTTCTTTTGGACTCAGCATTTGGTTTGGTGGTTGCTTTATCAATCGTTTTCATACCAGCTGCCTAATCATACCATTTAGGAATATAACACCACTAAATAATCAAAATGAAAGGGGCCCAACTGAATAAGGGGGTGGGTTGAGTACATTTTAGGTGAAAATCCATCATGATCATATAGTAGAGATCGTAATCAGTGCAGTTCTCAGAAAAAACGCTTGTATGCAGAAGTGCTTTTTACGTTCGCAAACAAGCTCTAATACCACGAATCAAACCGAACAAAAATGTGGAAACATTTGACAATGCATCATTTACGCTTAAACTTATGCTTAAATTAGCAATAGAATTCAGACCCCAAAAAGGATTAGACGGCCGATTAACATGCATATGTTAGGCCCAAGTCACTATTATGAACAAACAGCTTTGTTCTTCGATGAGGATTTGCTACCAATTGTAGCTCAAAGAATGAGAAAGGTATGACTACAAAGTTTATGATCTCATACACATGTTATCCTATTTGTTACAACTTACATGTTACAAGAGTTCTGGACTTTTCCCTGGAAACAAGCTTCGGTTAGACTTTTCCCTGGTATTGGAAATTGAGTTCGTAATCATGTTTTAGAGTTGCCAAGGTGTTTCTGCAAGGACCTCTGCACAAACAAGAAGAAAATGTGGGACTGCTTAAATTCCCTTCAAGTCATACGTTGAGCCTTGACAAAGGAAAAATTGTTTACCCCCAAATATGGTATGAAGACGTTGAAGATCATCTGGCGAGCTAGTATCTATTAATGCGTACACACCTGGTCTTAGAGCTTCGTCTATTTCCCTGAAAATTAAACATAAAACTGTTCAGCTAGTTCTGCATGACACAAATGTATTTCGGTCACCCCAAGATTATCCACTCCAAAAGATAACGAGTTTGGAGATCGTAAATTGTAATATATCACCTGAACATACTTTTTTCTTTGGGTAAAAATTATCCTCCCGTTGTAAAAAAATGGAAGGTGATAGCATTGTTTCAAACTCAAGTTTCCGGAAAAGTTTTAAGAGGGAGGAAAATGGGAAGCAAGCGACTTATGAGCATAGCATCTACACCAACCTCACCCTTTTCACCTTTAACCCTGGGCCAGTGGGAATTGAAATGTAACATACTAATTTTGGATGTATTAATTCATAACAAATACAATTGATACATATGTGTATAATTAACTTATCGGTTATGCCTTTTGAGCTCATCAAGAATCTCGTGAAACATCACAACAACAAATATTTTAAGGTACCAGAAATTACCTTTTGATGCCTGTTTTACAGGGGCCATATCCTGAATAAATCCATATGTAATTGGATAAAAATTGGGCACAATGCGGACCAAAGACTTCCTTTTGATGTCTTATCTGCAAAATAGATATGACAAAATATGGTGAGAAAGATCCCATTTTGTTCCCCCCTTCGACGTAATGGAACATACCCAAAATACAAGATGATATATATAACTTTAGTGAGGCATGCATATGAAAAGTCACCTACCTCTTTGTGAATCCTTCGGAGACTACCAGCACATTTGACTCCCTCAGCCACTTCCCATGAAAAGAAACCTTTCTTGACGACTGCATCAGCGTCCACCGTCTCCAAACAATGAAGAAGTACACGAACAGAAGCTTCAAGTGTAGCAACGCACCATTCACATTCACTAGAAATTTTGAAACAACGATTGCAACTATATTCAGAGTCTACTTAATGCGGAAGGAAACTATAAAATGAAATTAACTTCAGAATGCCATCTCAACTCTCTTCAGTAATCAATTTGCAAAAAAAGCATATAAAAGATTAAAGCTATTCTTCTTCATATTCAGCCCTTTACTTTTATGCTTTCCAACTTGGCCCAAGGTTAATAGTCCAAGTAAGGTTTTTCATACGAAAGGAATACACTAACCTTTTGTGATGCTTCAGAACATTATGCAACAACCGGCAGCAGGCAGAAAACAGGTCAACCGAGTATTGCCTATCCATGCCAGAGTAATGAAAACTTGCTACTGGATTAGAAACTTGGTTATTTGGAATTGTTGAAGAATCATCAGGAACGGGAGCTTCCGAAAGTTTTAAAAGATGGAAGTCTTGAAAAAGTGCTGAAGGTATACATAAAGATTGTGCTACATGGCAGGGTCCATTTGGTACAGAGCATGTTTGCCAGAAATTCTAACCAGTACATCAACACACATAAGAATGACTGATCCTGGATCTGGATCATTATTAGTATCACCTTTCCTCTGGATCATTCTCTCATAAAAGATTACTGGACTTTGCAAGTGTAGAATAACATTGAAGGCGCTAGCAATGAAGCTCTGGATGTGTCTTTGAACGACCTTCAAACGTTTGCGTCCTGAAGGGAAAACAAATGATCAGAAAAGCAAGTCCCAACAACCTTTAGTCATATGCACTTGAAATCTATATAAAATACGTACTAATAGCGGACATGACCATTAAACATAACAGAGCGGTGACAAACAATGTGATTTCATAGAGCAGCATCAATTACCTGGAATCTACAAGGATAAATATTATGAAATATACGTAGCAAACTTTCATATTTTTTTCTCAAACATTATGACTAGTAGAAGACATGTAAAGGCAAAGATTTAGTTCATAATCCCTATGCTCCAACACTGGACCAGTATCTTCCAATATAGGTTCCAAAATGCTCAAATGTTTTTAAATTACATTCATGATATGCATGCAAAAGGAAGGAGGTTCAGTAACATTAGAAAATATATCCCAATATGTATTACAGCGTTTCCATTTAAAATGAAAGGTCCAGTAAAAACTTTACTGATAGTAAAACACCTGGAACTAAAGTATAAGTTAGAATTCAGTTGCAAATGCTACTTGAACAACAGTTACTATAGACACCTTAGACAATATAATAGAATCATATCATTCAAAATTATCAAAATATTCCATCCATAGATGTGTTGATTACCTGAAACAAACTCCAGTACCAAATCCAAGCAATCCAGGCCAGCAGCAACAAATGAAGAAACCTTTCCCCCATCTACACTTCCAGTATGTATGTCATAACTCATAGTGCACCCTTCCCACACACCGACTACTTCTCTCTCTATAGCTTGTAGAGCAGATAAAAGATGCAACTCTGATGGTTTCTTTATGAACACTATGAACGATGACCCTAACCTAGCTTTAAGTTCATCCAATAAGTATGGCCAGCCAGACAGAGAAGCTTCAGAAAATCCATAGGATAATGGATCATTTTGGTGCTCGACTCTGTCTCATGAGATACCAGGGTGGCTCTTTTTCCCTGTAAAGTTATGCATTTCCCCAATGCCTGTAACTGTAGCTGAACCATCTTGTCATACAAATTTCTGGATAACGGATTAGTCAGTGGAAAATGATTCGCCAATTCTTCCACGTACTTAAGAACACCATCTTAACACACAAAATAAAAAAAGTGTGGCACCTGATCCATGTCCACTGATTCCAACAAGAAGAGTTGTGTGACGCCATTAAAAATATACACGAAGCTTGGGGACAGGGGAGCACTATTCATATGCAAACTTAACTTCAAAATAGCTGATGATGCAACAAACAACTGCCTGAGCAAAAATGCTGCGTCCAGGTAATCACCTTTTAGCAGGCGTCTCAACAAAGGCTTATTTAAAAATTGCAATTCAAATGAATCAACATTAGTCAATGCACTGGCAGCCAAAACTGCACCTTTCAAATGCAACTTTCTTCTACGGACATTACCAGACCCCGAGTTATCATGGATGTCAGGTGATGCTGAGCAGGTCATTGCAGCTCCTGATTCATTATGCAGTCCGCCGAGTGCAATATCAGTCTCAACGCCAGTGCCATCTGTTAAAAACTCCTCTGCACCTGAATCTACATTGCAGTTTGTCTTTTGAATATTTTGAGCATCACATAAAGTTCTGGACTGTTGATTATCGTCAAAAAGAACATTTGTAAGAGAATACTAGAAAATTCTGCAAAAACATTTATACAAAGGTTGAGTTCGGTGATGGGTTCAAGCTTCCGACGTGATGAGTTTGCTTCATGATCACTATTTCTCGCATCTGAAAGGTTCACAACAAGTGCTAGGCCCCATAAAAACCCACTAAGGCAAGAAATTAAGGATGAAAACTTGTTCAAATTTAGAGCATCAACATCAATCCCAAGTTTTCCTTTATAAGGGCCCTCCTTCAAATTAAATAGTAAGCTTTGCATCTGTTCTGTCAAAATCTTAGCAATAATGGCTACACTTTTCCTGGCTTCAACACATTTGAAAGGATCCAAGCACGGTTCAGATTCACTTGAATTACTATGTTCATAGACAGGTTCAGCATTCAATTCGGCAGCTTTGGGGAGACAAACAGCATGATTAAGTTGGTATTTACTTGATGTCAGAAACACATAAAATGTGTGATCCATCAGTGACAACATCATTCCATTAAATGGGTGACGATTATCTTTTGAAAATGACTCTTGAGTCCCAAGAACCGCATAAACTGACTTGTAAAGCCATAACATAGGAAATGTATCCTCGAGGAACACTGAAGCATGTGAGGTTTAACTAGCTACTGTCTCCTCTTCACAAGCCAGAATTACATGTTTTAAGGCCTTATGACAAGACACAAACAATCTGAAGAGCTCGTGATAATGATGTGAGTTCAAAGCATTCTGACAATCTAATAAGCCGCCAACAAGAAGCCTGAAACACAGAACAGGTAATATTAACAAATATCTTCATTGAATGGCTACAAAGACTACACTTAATCAGAGCGCTTCAATTGTTAAGCACATAAATGTTTTTCATGAGATATGAATTCTGTAGGCTGCTGCGGAAAAGGTGCACATGAGACTATAGAAAGAAAGTTCACAAGTTGAAAGAGTATGGCAGTGATGAGCTGTTCTGCGCAAAACACTTTCTGAAACGATTTTACAAGAAGCAAGATTTTAGCCATTTTTCTCTTTTTACATGTATTCAAATGTATTATGTGCAAGAAAAACTGAACAACCAAATCATAGTATCTGTGTTAGGTTTTCGTAGAACTCAAATCAATTAAGTGGATAACTCTCTTATTGAGTACTCAAATTTGTGAAATAATTGTTCACCAGACGATTTTTTTTTTAAATATTTTATGTTTATTGAAAAATAAAAGCAACAAGAGCTATTATGGGGACCAGTGGTACTATATCACACCATAAAAACTAAGTTGAAGGGATAATGTTCATACCTTTCAAGGTTGAGAATAGAAGACACATAAAGTGAAATTGATTTTGAAGTCAAATGACCTTTTGGCATGTGGCACAAAAGATTAAGTAAACTCCGGCAAGCTGTAAATTTCATGATGTGATGGTAGGGCTTTTTGTTCCTTGCAACTTCCTGCAAGCAGCTTATCAGAAGAATGAGTGACCGAATTTGCTACTGAGGAACAGTCAAATATGTTGTGTTTGTCAGAGGAAACGACAGCTGATGAGTTCTCCAGGTCATTTAAAACTTTCGGCCAATTAGGTGATGTTTTGAAATCAATATTGCCAGATGCAGCGCCACTCATGAATTGTATTGTCGATTTCTCCAATGCATGGCAAAAACTCGATGCAAAATACCTGCAGACAAACTAATAAAAGAGATAGAATAAATAACTGGGTAGAAAATCTTTTTATAAAGGCTCATTGAATGGTGTATGTGTCTATAAGAGAGAATAAAGTGTAAGAAAGAGTCAACGAAGCACCACGTGATGTTTGATAGCAACTTACTCTTTTGCTCATACAGAATGGAGTCGATGAAGCATTGTGATGAGATTTGGTGCAAGGTTACTTTCTTCATCCTATTCCTGTCAGCATGAGTATTGTGCTCTCTAACCACCCCGAAGCTGCTTCTTACACAAGGAAGGGAAGTTTGGATTAAAAGAGAAATAAATGTCTTCAAATTCTTTTTAGTCACATGGGTATCAATATTGTGGCAAAGAATCCACCAAATTGCAGTTGGTAATGACTTCTTGTTCAAAGCAGAAAAATTGAAATCCCATTCATCACTTTCATAGGCAACCATTTTATTACAGCTTGTATCATCCGGAGTGAAGATTGGCTGTTGATATTCCGACACTAATGATAGGTGCTCCATCATAAAACCAGTAAGACCTGTAGCCTCTTCCCTCAAGGTAGAGATGTGCCTTTCCAGTTTTTTTATTCTTTTATGACACCTTGACAAGCCAGCATCATCAAGCAACCTGACTTGCACCAGATTTTTATTATTTTGCATCACATACTCAGAAGACTTTATATGCCTATTCAAATCAACAAGCCTTCTAACAGCCATAGCATGCATTACATAAGTCAGAGACCAAGAATCTGTCGCACAGTTTTTACAATAGATATTTGAAATGGATTGAATAACAACAAGAAGAGAAGCTGAAGGTTGCTTGATCCAAGAAAAATACCCCCCATTGGTCCAGTCAGTCATCTACATCCAATCACTACCAGAGTATGATGCGAATGAATCTCCCATTGCTGCTGACATCTCTCTTGATAAATCTGAAGGCATAAGGATCATTGCCGACCTATATAAGCTTTGGCAGGACATATACAATCGAAAGAAGAACACAAAAACCCAATGAGTGGACAATCCAAATATCAGCAAATTATTTTTATTTTCAGCTGTCTCGTTGTCAAGACCTTTTCCAGCAACAGAAAAAAGGAACTAGTTTAAAGCATCTGGCTGTAGTCCAACCAGACTACCCATGCAAGGACAAAGTACTGTTATAAGGTCCTTTTAGAAACTCCAAGGAGGTTACAGTTTCCAGTTGTGGCAAACAGTGAGTCTAGCACTAGTGCATATATTTCAGACAACACTCTCCCCAAAAGCTCAGCTTCCAGATTAAAACCCTGCACGCTACTTTGCACATCCTGTCTGCCAACTTCTGTTTCATCAGATTTTGAACAACTAATTTTCATCCACTCTAGACATTCTGATACATCCATTGTTAACCGACCAATACACCCACTTGCTTGTCCTTCTGGTATGGACTTAACAGCTTGTTGGATTGCAATCTTAAACTCTTGTGAGCATAATAACATTTCCACTGATTTTGCATGAGCTTCACCGTGTAAAGAAATCACAAATCTAGTATAGTTCCGTTCACCATCACCATTATGTGAACTTAGAAGCCTTATTGCTTTACACAATGCAAAAATAGTATTATTCACCTGCAGTACAATAGTAAACGATGGGATTAAACCACAGAAAAACCTGAAGAGAACAAAACAGACTATCAGTTCTAGAAGTGATCTGTGACAATTCACCACCACCCCCTAAAACTCATGAGTGAAACTGGTAACATAGTTGATTTTGGAAACAGTAACACATATATAATCAGGTATATGTATATGCACGCAGAAGTTAAAAAGAAGTCAAATGCTTGATCAACGAGCATTTTACTGACCTGGCGAAGTTGACTATAGAGAACAACAAATTGGCATCCAATATCAGTTATCTTGAAAGATAAGGAGCACTGATCCGGAGCATCCATCAGAGAAAGCCCAACAGCTAAGTGAGAAAGCATCAGAAGCCACATGCTTACCAAATCCTTCTCTATAACCTCATATTCAATTTCCAATAGGTACCCCACAGCAGAAAGCACCTCATTGGTTATTAAAGTTAAAGTTTCCACTCGTGTCCCGTTAACAATATCATGTTTCGATGACTGAATTAAATTGGAGGACAATGATATAATCATATTATAAACCTTCTTCAAGAAATTAAGGCAAGCTCCCTCAGATGTGTCCTCTGTTCTCACATAAACTTTTCATGCATAAAGCCACAAAGTAAATTACTAACAGATTTAAGCGTGCAATGGACATCCAACAATACAGGTCCCAATTGCAGCTTCCATAATCTGTACAAAAAAATCAAGAAGTGAGTTTCGTGTTTCTGCATTGAAACTAGTTGAGCAGTCATTATTCCCCATCATTTTGGTACTTTCAGTCAGCACTGAAGCTCTTTTTAGCTTTTTAACTTGATCGATGAGCAAGAGAAATAGTTCTCCTATGCTTTCCACTGCCAAAGCATTCTTTCCAGTTTACAAATAGATGTCTGTGATAACTCTTGAGCGTTGTTTTGGAGTCCTGTGACTTCCCAGAATTGGATGTGGCATATTTTTCACTACTGCACAAGCTCAAAAATCCATCAATGTGGATTGGGTGATATAGCCCATGAGATAGGACTTCTTCAACTAGCTTCAGTAAGCTCCTTGTCCAACCAGGATTACTTTCATCAATCTGAAGATGCAAGAGACCCAAGAGATGCAACAGAGGCTCAAGGAGTTTATCTATAAAATCACGAAACCCGTTCTTCCAAGCTGGGTGAGCCCTCAAAAACTTGGCAAATGGCTCAAGCACCAAGCACAAAAATCGGAAAACAAAGTCACCTCCATTGCCACAAACAAGATTTTCAACGTAAAATTTGTGGAGTAAATCAAGCACTGCACCTACAGTTGAAACCCACAGATCTAAATTTTCATCTGACATGCCTCCATGGGATGCAAATACCAAAGATATGCAATCAAGCACAGTATTGTACAATTGCAACTCTTCACTACTGAAAGACAAAGTCGGGCGTGAAGATGTTTTGTTCAATAAGGACAGTGCATTTCTAGCTATCAAATCAATAGAGCGTACAAGGTTCCGTGAGAAATTTAGAGAAACATTCAATTTCAAAGACTCCTCCAAGCAGAATTTGAAAATTTCCCAGCACCTAATATCCAAATTTGTGTCATTAACTTCGGCTTGATGCTTCACTCCAACACTCTGAATTTTCTTTCCTGAAGAAATCAACAATGATTGGATCCAATCATTGACAAAAATTATTAAACGTGACATATTCACTGCTTGATTATCCTGGTCACTCTTGCCGCCTTCTTCTTTTACGCTCGATATCACTAAACCATAAGCTAGTTCCACCTTCCTGCATTTTCATTCCTCGGTTATCAGAATTGAATATTCTTTCAGATTAGAAAGTATATTCATAGGAATTAAATCTTAAGCCTCCTTTTGATCAATTAATGAGGAAACGAAGACAACATGAAACTTGAATCGTGGTTTTTACACTCAATTGTTCCTCTAATTCAACCAATTTGGCTCGAATGAGGTTATAAGTTCCTTGGTTCCCTCTTTCTAAAACAAAGCTTCACCGACTTTACATTTCATTAATCTTGGTGCCTACTCGTAAAATAAATAAACAAAAACGCTTAAATATCGAAATATTTAGCCAAGAACCAACACTTGATCACAAACTTTTAAATTGAATTTTCCATTCTGTCAGCTGAGAAACTTGTAGGAACATAAATTAAATCACATCCATCAAGCTCAATGTAATCAAATTTCCGCACTTCCGAAACCATCAATCGAGTGAATTCAAACTTTCTCGCAATCCAAACACATTAAAGCAAATAAATCAATAAAAAGGTATAAAATATACTCACTTCTGAAGATCAATTTCTTTGTTCTGGATTGACAAAACCAACTCCAGGTTCCGCCATGGACCAGCTTCTTCGAGATCGTGACTGGGTTCTCTCAGCTCGTGTTTTTCAGCTCCTTTAACTTCCATCATGTCTTGCGGTTCAGTCTCTTTCTCTGAGAGATTAATACGCTGCGTTTTGGAAGGTCTTGGGAGCGCTCCAAGACTCCTCTGCTTTCTCTTTTTGTTCTTTGATCGTTGCGCTTTAGGGGTGGCTTCGGAGCCGGCCATTGTTGAACTCTTCTGTCAGTCACTGCGGTTTTTTGGGGTTTAACGGATATACAAGTTCACCTTTTAGGGTTTAACGTATGCAGTCAGGGCGGGCTGCAGGGTTGAAGAAAAGATAAAACGGCACCGTCCGGTTTTAGAGCTTTTGATACTTTCTCATTTTATTTGTTCACGAGGACTATTTTAGCGCCCGTAAGGGTGCGTTTGTTGTACCTACCTCGGACTGGACTAACTTTGTGCTGCTCAACCACACTGTGCTATTGTATGACTTCTATTTCTCCATTGAAGAGGGCAGAGGAAGGTCTCCGGACAACCCACCTAGCATTTTGACGACTACCCACTTTCTATCTCTGCAATTACAGAGCTCTGAAAACCCTAGAGGGAAACTGAAGCTTATGGATTGATGTGAATTTGGGCGGGTTTGATGGGGATTCGGTGGAAAATTAGAAGATGATTTTTGGGGGAAATCGGGGAAATCAGGGTTTTGGGGTTTGAATTTGTGGCGAGATTTACATACTGACTGGGATTTTGAAGAGAAGGAAGGAAACAAAGCTCAGTCAAGGAAGCGAAGAAGGAGGCGCTTAGTGAGGTCCTTAGCAATCCCATGGTTCAACAGGGGACTAATTTGACAACGTAACGAAGCTCCGAGTCAAAGCGAGTGAAGGCTAGTCTCATTTAACTTAGTCCCCAAACATAACAAACATGGGATAATAGTCCTAGCTAGTCCACTCCCACTTAAGAAGGTGAAACAAACACACCCAAATGTCTTGCTAGTCTTGCATTAGTTGTTTTTTATTGTAATTGCAAAGATATATTTTTAATGTATTGTGCAAGGAGAGGCTTTTTCTTTGTCATGCATGTTCTAAAAATTTGTCATGGTTTTTTGTTTTCACTTTTGTGTAAAGTAATGAATTATATGTTATTCATAAAATTGTCAGACAACATGGGATTTTGGATGCAAGTTTCTACTTAAAGCCCATGAACATAGTATGTATATACCATATGTAAATGAAAAACATAGTAGATAAAAACATTAAGTATGGGTAGTAATAGACAAAACAACTTAAATGTCAAAATATAAAGTTCGCATAACAAAATTTACATTATTCAAGCATAATCTCACTTTGAGATGACATGCCCAAAAAGTCCCATGTTTTTCTTGGTTGGACCAGCCTAGCCGGCGATTTCCATCTTCTTGAATTAGGAGGGCAAGAACAAGTGTAGGAAAGGCCCAAAGCCAATCCCAGAGTATAGTAAAGCTTCATAGGGTCTTAGCTCGAAGATGTAGAACAAAAATTCGTTCACCCAAATAAAAAAGATTTTGATTATAGTTTTCCTTGCGATGGTCCGAGACGAGGTGGGACTTGTTATCCTAGAGAATCACTACAATAGGAAATAACGGATCTATTCACTTAAGTTGAAGTAGCTGCTTTTATGGATATCAACCTAGGGAAGGTTGAAAGTTGAAGGAAGATAAAGGGAATGATTTCCCCAACCATTAAGGGAAAGGCTCGACAAAGAGAGAGGGAAGGAAAACGATTTCGAAGACAAAGATACGATACACATAAAGTCTACAAGTTCACTATTTCTTTTTGAAAAGAAAGTTTACATATTGACATCAACGCTGCATTTTCCACCCATTTGTTTATGAATGATGCTCCAAATTTTTATTGTCAATCTACAAACGATAGTAAGAAAATTAAAAATCAATAAAAAATAGTTAATTGTTTAGTGAGAAATGTATACCGAAAGGTTATTGTTATTAAATTTGTTATCTATTAGGAATCACTATGATTAGCTGGACTGAAGCAAGACTTCTCTGTATACTACATTCCATGAAAATACACCTTGTTAGCCAACTATGGAGCCACTTTTTACTAATACAAGTAGTTGACTTTGAGATCCCCTCAATAAAACCACATATAATTGTCCAAGACTAAAGATATGATATGGAAGGTAAATACCTAAATGTGGTATTGTTTTGATTTCGAGATTTGTTTATAGTGATAAAGAAACTTAGTTTCATTGCTTTCTTGTGAGTTCAAATAGAAGTCCAGCAAATTGTCTAGTCATGATTGGAGCACCTTTCTTCAAAGTTAACTTGTGCGGAGGCAAACCCCTAAGTGAGATTGAATTCAAGATTTATGGCTAATAAAAATTCTTTGTGTAATCCTCAACTAAATCTAAAGAATACATTGTCTCTTCTAAACTTGGAACATATTGATTATCTTTTCATTCAACATATCAACATCTTCATTTGTAAGATTTACCACTGCCCTTTTTACCATGTAGGTTGCATCATTTATATGATCTCCTAAGTCGTGCAAGATTCTGGCAATTAATTGATTAATGGAATGCTCACTCTCCCATGGTAAAACCAGGTAGTCTAACCTTACTATCCATAATAACACATTAATTCCTATCACCAACATGGAGTGAAAATTCTATAAATTCATGATCAGTTATAGATCTCTTGTTTTGTGTAAGTTTTAAAATCCTTATATGACCAAAATGTTGGTTTAATTATACTAGCTTGGATTAGTTCTGACTTGGTTCCTTTCCGGACAATAGGAATAACTTGTCGAAAAACTCCCTCAAATATCATTATCTCCCCCTAAATAGTAAGTCAATATCTATGAAGTCTCTCAACGTTTAATCAAGTGCTTCAAATGCATGGCGGTGTTGCTATATCCCAAATAATCGCCTTTGCCATTTGTATTAGCTTTGGTAAATTAGATTGTTTATTGATCACACACATGGATGATGCATTGAGAACTAGTGGAATCTTGAATGCAAAATATATTATCCTCCCACCAAGCAATATTGTAGCTATTATTTCAGATGATGATGTTACTAATATTATGTGGCCTAACCTTCTCAAGCTTGCTAACAATGCACGATATAAGTAAGCTTTTTCAATTCCATGGGGACCATCCACGTAAAAAGTTGAATTCTCTAACTGTTGAATTATTGTGTTAACACACTTCTTTGGTCATCATTTAGATGTTTGATTGCATTAAGATCTTGTTATGGAATATTTATGGATAGTTCATCTTCAATACATTTTATCATTCCTAAACTCAATTCAATTCTCTTGTCACAGTTAAATTGAACCAAAAGTGTGTTCAATTCTCACAAGAGTTTGTTGATATCAAGTATGGGATTTATGCTAGTCACAGAAACATAATCTTCTACCATTAATGAATAGAATCATCCCACAACCCTTGAACACCAATTGGTATATTGTGGCCAATAATCTTGTTAAAGCCGACGACATCTGAATTGTCAAAGCCTTTAGCAACCAAACACCACCAACTATCCTCTAGTTTATGGAGCATGTTAATTTTCTAACATGATTAAGAACAATTTGCAGGTAAAATTTTTCGCATTTAGCAGCTGACACTGCATATATTTTCCCAATAACCTTGTTACTATTTTTTATTTTAGACTATTTTCTTTGAGTGTGAATACATTTGTAATTAGTGTTCTAAAAATCGACCTAGGCGTTGAATGGTCGGTTGCCATCACAATTAAGTCCTAATTGTTCAACAAAATCGGAAATCCTATGGGGTAGTTGCCTAGGTGAGATTAGGCAGGATTAGGGGGGACTAGGTGGAACTATACAGGTCTAGGCGGGCGTGAGGAAGAAGATGATGACCCTTAGTATGGTTTTATCTTTAAGATGGTCCCTACAATCATGTCGTTTAATTATTGCCTCCTAGGCGCTAGGCCCCAACTTGCCACCCGATTAGCTTCTAGCGTTTTTTAAAACCTTGTCTGTAATGTAATGGGATGTCCGTGTATAAGTATTGTCTCACTTCTGCATCCACATGATTAAGTGTGAAAAATTCTGTCAAAATTGTCTTCATTGCACCCTCATCATTTAGAATATTTTTTATACTCTCATTGGCATGAAACTGAACTTGGTGCATATTTAAAAAGGTGTATTTGCAACCGTTCAACCTATGGATATATTCGATTGATTATGAACTTAAATATCTTTTATAATGTCTCTGGCACGCAAACCTATCTTGCATCCTAAAATTGCCTTATTTCATCATATTTAGGATCTTATTACACTTCGACTACCACTCTATCTGGGCTTTTGTAAACATCTATTCTATTAAGAGAATAGGGCTTGTCAACTTTTTGCCCATTTTCTTCCAATTTTGCTCACTTTTGAATACACAATGTTGACATGATGAGGGCAAAATAGTAATTTTGTACCTTTGACAAAATGACAACCATATCCCTATTTTACCCTCTTTTTTGAGATAATGACAATCATATTTTTCTAATTTTACCCTCTCTTTTGATATACAATATTTACATGAGGAGGACAAAACAGTAATTATGTAATATTAAAAAAAATATGCACCTATTAAGAGAAATTGTTCACACACATATGGTTTATGCTTGCACAATATTGATGTGGCAATCATATCTTACTAGCAACCATGGTTTATATGGAATATCCCAACTATTATCAACCATTATGTTTCCTTGTCGATGAAGTCAGATGGGTAGTCAAATTCCTCGCCTTTGATAAATTGATATGAATCATTCCCTTGAATAGTATCTGTTTCAAATTATTCAGGATACTTTCTCTTACAACTCCAATTTTTCATACATGGAGATTGGGGGTTTTAAATGCCACGTGGGCCGTGAATCATATGCTTTAACATCACATTGTAAAGTTGGGGCTTCACGTCTTCGTTTAGTATTTCACCTTTAACAATTTATCATTCAACTCTAACAATTTGGCCATACTACTCTAGGTTATTAATATTATCATTTTCATCTAGCACAACCAACATGTGCATATGTGAAAGACCTCGTTTCTAAAATTCAATAACGTATGCCAAAGCGACTACATTGTCTAGCACCCCATTTTCTGTGATGTCTTCTTTTAGTTACTCAAGCTTTGCATGAAATACTTTAGTAAGTCAAGACAATCTTGTAGAGTTTGTCTAGGGAGCAATTCACTTTTGATTTCTTTTAACTTGGGTTACATGTAATGGTAACAAAAAAGTTTGGCTTGTCGAATCTTTGAATCAGAGCCATGTCATTGGTACATGTCACGTGGACTTCCAACAAATGAAGATGACATAATGATTCTACGTTCGATGCTACCTGATTAATTTTCATTTTCGATTAGTAATTATATATTTACCTACATTGTGTTGGCCTGTATTTAAGGAGTCTTCAAGTCCTTTGTAAAGATTGAATCTAATTGTGACTTGATTAAAACAAAACCATCTAAGCTTCTGTGATTCAATTTTAATGTAGTTAGCAACAAAATATTGTTGTAAGTGACACATTCCTCAAAGCAAAAGTTACCACCCACCATGACATATTTGCAAAAGAAAATTAAATATTTGCTTTTAATATAACATTCATTTTTCATAAATATATACTAGATAGTAAATTATGTTATTGGCACAAACTTGTAACATATAAACATAATAGTCGGAACATGTTATTGCTCATCCACCATCATCATGACTATTAACATCTCAGCCATATGTATCATAAGGTAAGAATAAATGGATATAGTAACAGGATCATAATATTTGACAATCTCATACGTAAGAAATCTTCCACTAA